AGTAAGAGGACAAAAATAGAAAACTAGAAAATGTTACAGCAGCAGAGGTAGATACACTTAATTGAAAGAGAAGCTATTATGGGATGGTGGTCTATGCTGATGGGACTAGAAATGAGAGAATATGGAAGCCAAGCAGACATGCACCTGTGTTGCTATAGATAACCTTGGAACAGAGGAGAGCTAGCATAAGTGAGTAATGGAGTGACAAAGAGAACATATTTGCTCCATCCACCTGTGTTGCTATAGATAACCTTGGAGCAGAGGAGAGCTAGCATAAGTGAGTAATGGAGTGACAAAGAGAACATATCAAAGAAGTGCTGGGTTACAGAAACATGACATGATGAATTAAGCCACACATCATTTATATTTCCAATGAGTTACAGGTATCGATTGCCTATTGCTACTATAAGAAGTTATTGTACACATAGTGGCTTTAAACAACCCAAATCTATTCACTTAAACTTTCCTTCTGGAGTCTTCAGGGGAGAATCTGTTCCCAGGACAACTCCATCTCAGAAACTACTTCACATGCTTTAGTTTGTGGTCCCTTTTGTCATTGTCAAAGCCAGCAGAACATTCTTTGAGGCAATTCCATCTCCTAGGCATCATCTCAGTGTCTTTAACATCATCATAGATGAAGAGTCCTCTGCTGTTAGGATGCCATATTCACAATGTCTTTAGGTGTGGATGTCTTTGCCTTTGGAAGGTCTTTATTCAACCACATTAAAGTGGATAAAATTAGGCTATGGATACAATTTAGTGGTTAAAATATTTACCTAGCATGTGTGAGGTCTTGAACTCAAACTTTAGCACATCTCCTTTACAAAACAAAAACTCTAAAACTAAACTGTTGAAATTATTTAATAATTTATCCAAATGAGTTCAGTGCAAAATCAATGTGTTAAATTCCTAGGTAAATTTGTAAGTACATTACATACTAAATCTATAGAATCTATACTTAGTATTGATACTATATATAAGATCTACCTGTCTATATAGTATGCATATATTATACAATATCTATATATAAGTCTCTATAAAGATGTATATAAATACCTATATATAGATAGATACTATATGTGTATCGTGCCTATGGTATGTTATAGAAATATAGAGTATTTATATCAATACTGTGGTATCCACATAGATATAGCATACATATATATATATATATAGTATAACATAGCTCTATATTATATGGAGAGATATACTATGGACATTCTATATATAGTATAGATAGATAGCACATATGAATATCTAGTATGTACTATATAGAGAGATCCATAATATGTATATGTGTAGATATACTATATATTCTATATAGATATTATATAAAGATATCTGTAGCATAGATATGTATATCTATATAGCATATATAGATATCTACATACAGTATCTATAACTTATAGATACTATGTCTGTGTCTATGTACTATAGCACACTTATACACGTCTCCCAAACATGTCTTCCATCAGGTAACTTGTGGGACACAGTCAAAAGTGGTGGAAGAACTGGATAGTAGACATACAATACCATCAGCTACAGTTGCTAACATGGAGACTTTCCTCATTTTTTGTAGGAAAAATATATGATTCATGTTTTGGAGAAGGGAGTGACATTTCTCCCGAAAAGTTAGGAGATCTTGATTTGAGAGAGGTCCGGCTAGAGGCTGAGAGTTGTATTGGCTTTATGAAAGATGGATGAGCTGATGGTGGTGGATGAGAACAAATTCCTGGAAACATCAATGTTGAGAGACCAACTGAGGAAAGAATGTATAAGGAGGGGTAGAGGGAAAGAAAGGGCATGTTTAAATCTAGAGGAAAGGAAAATGTAGTGCAAGTGGGAGGAGGGAAGTTAATGCCAATAGTATTTCTTACTCTTCTTATTTAGAACTCAGGACTTGATTTGCTCAGCTTACTTATTTGGTGGGTATTCAACCACCTGAGCCAAACCTCCAGCCAAGCTTTTTTCTGTATAATTGATAGTGAAGTCTTGTTGACTTTTTTAAAACTTCAACTGACTTTGAACTTCAATTACAAATTACTTCAATTACAAATTACTAAGCCAGGCACCAGTAGCTCACCCCTGTAAAATTCTTGCTACTCAAGACACAGATCTGAGGATCACAGTTCAAAGCTAGCCAGGGCAAGAAAGTCTGTGAGTCTCTTATATCCAATAAACCACTAGAAAACCCAAAGTGGTGCTGTGGCTCAAGTGGTAGAGTGCTTGCCTTGAGCTGAAGAGCTGAGGGACAGTGCCAGGCCCAGGGTTCAAGCCCCACCACCATTGACAAAAAAAATTACAAATTACTAGTACAGAGTTCTGTTCTAGCACCAGAGAACAGACTGGCAATCCATAGGTACATGCATATTTATATTCTCATATGTTGCCTTCATCTGATCCTTTCCAAATATTACAATATTGTACCTATACTTTCGTTTGTTTATTACTGGTCCTGAGGCTTGAACTCAGGGCCTGTGTGCTGTTCCTGACCTTTTTGCTCAAGGTTAGTACTCTACCACTTGAGTCATAGGTTCACTTCCAGCTTTTTGCTGGTTAATTGGAGATAAGACCCTCAGAGAGTTTCCTGCCTGGAAAGATTTGAACTTCAGTCATCAGATTTCAGCCTTCTGAGTAGCTACGATTACATGTGTGAGCCACAAACACTTGAAATTTAAAGAATATGAAATGACCCCTCTGGTTTTTGTATTCCATTACTTCAAATGATACTCTTGTTGGTGGAGACATTTGCTTAGATTTGTCACAAACAAATCTGATAGCCAAAGAAAGATGTTACTTTCAAACTTTTTGCATAACTGACTCTAGCCAGAATTTAATTTTTAAAAGGTGACAAAACAAACATACCTAAAATGATATTAATATTGCAACAGTAGACAGCTGTTCTTCATATTTTAACTTTATTCAAGTTTAGGAATAAAGAAAAACTCTGTAGAATTAAAAGTTTCTCAAAACTCAAACAGAAATGTAGTATCAACAGATAGTTCATTTCTCATTTTTCTTATAAATATAGTCATGACTTGGGCATTGGTACTAAGTACAATTTTTGAGAAAAGAAGCCAGTCTGCACATCTTTAAGTTTTATTTTCTGATTTATTTACATCAACAATAGCCTATAAGTAGAAATGCAAAATGCTATTTTCTCAGTTCTATAAATTATTCTGTTAAGATTAATTTAAACAGACATATAAACATACAAGCCCACTCTTTTAAAAAATGGACACTTTCAATCTAAGAGTTCTTTTATTTTTTCAAGTCAATGGCCATTTCTTCAAAAATTCTCTAGAAATGTTTTGTTCTTCTGAGAGAACACATGGAGAACCATGTGGGAGGAGTAAAGATGGCAGTTTCCACTAAATAATTTCAAGAGTGCACAGTGATACCATGTTTATTCTCCCCACAGTCTTTCAAGCTAAGCTTGACCAAGATAAAGCTTTTTTTTCTTTTTTTCTTTTGTGCCAGTAGTGGGTCTTAAACTCAGGGCCTGGAAAATGTTCCTTAGCTTTTTCACTCAAAGCTAGGATGCTACCACTTGAGCCACATCTCCACTTCTGGCTTTGGGGTGGTCAAAACTGAAGATAATAGCCTCACAGACTTTCCTGCCTGGGCTTGTTTTGAAATAGGATCCTCAGATCTCAACCTTCTGAATAGCTAAGGATATAGACATGAACCACCATGTCCAGTGAGGCCAGGGGTTATTAACTCAGTTTAGTTTTGATTTCATGGTTAGGGAAGTGGCATGGCTTCTGGAAACTAGTAGTTTCTAAGAGTACAGCACAGATTACCTCTTTCTGTCTCCCATCCAAAGAATTTTTTGCTCCATATGTCAATAGTGTCAAAGTTGAGGAGGCCACATTTTAACCTCCCCATTCAAAAGAGAAGAAAGTATGTCCCTAAGTAAGAGGGAAGGGAAAGAGCAACAAGAGAAGGATGTGACTAGGGTCCACTTCATATGAAGACAAGGATTCATTATTTTGTTGTTTCAAGTAAATGTAGCAAACACTGGATCCCATGGACATTCTTCGCAGCCATATAAAGGCCATTTTCTTTTTATGGGTGTTCACAATTAAGTATCTCCTGGGATCGTGTGGTCAATTAGAGTTTACAGTCAATTCTACCTACAACCTTCCCCTTGGACCAACCACATAGGAGGCAAACTGAGTCCGAGGTTAAGTTGATTTCATTTCAGAGAAATTGATCCCAGAGAAAGAAGTGAAAATATTATAGACAAGTGTTCTAGAGGGAGAATGGTTTGATCAAGCCCTTAACTTAAATTATCTTTGTAAGAGGAAAACACAATACACAAATCATAGACTTCTGTGTCTGCTAAACTTTGCCCAGTAGTACTGCCTATGGGGTTTCTTCACTTGAGCAAATTACTTGTTCTTTTTGAGCTGTGTATTCATTAGTAAAATTGAATCAAAAGATATAACTTGCAAGTTGTTATAAAGACTAAATAAAAATGTATATAAATCTTAAGAAC